GATGAAGAGGATGATGAAGATCTGGATTTGACGAGGAAGAGGGATTTTATTTATTTATTTATTTATTTAGGCAAGAGGCTATTTTTCATCTGTAGTCCCTGGACAGATTTTAAAAGTCAATGAAGAGGATGATGAAGATCTGGATTTGATGAGGAAGAGGGATGAAGAGGATGATGAAGATCTGGATTTGATGAGGAAGAGGATGATGAAGATCTGGATTTGATGAGGAAGAGGATGATGAAGATCTGGATTTGATGAGGAAGGGGATGATGAAGATCTGGATTTAATGATGAAGAGGGATGAAGGGGATGATGAAGATCTGGATTTGATGATGAAGGGGATGATGAAGATCTGGATTTGATGATGAAGAGGATGCTGAAGATCTGGATTTGATGAGGAAGAGGGATTAAGAGGATGATGAAGATCTGGATTTGATGAGGAAGAGGGATTAATAGGATGATGAAGATCTGGATTTGATGATGAAGAGGATGATGAAGATCTGGATTTGATGATGAAGAGGGATGATGAAGATCTGGATTTGATGATGAAGAGGGATGAAGAGGATGATGAAGATCTGGATTTGATGAGGAAGGGGATGATGAAGATCTGGATTTGATAGGGCAGCATAATCACCTGAAATCACAGCTGACTGCAGGACAGAGGAGAACAATTTGACTGCAGCTCGATGATTGGCTGCTGGAGATCGTGTTGAAATGTGATTGGGTAAAAGAGGACGCCCATCATGAGCTGACTAAAGCAGCTGGAGGGTGGATGAATGTAGAGCCAGGCTTCCTGCTTGAGCTTCAACACTGTGTTTGGCTCCTTTCTTTAAAAATGAGCTTCTTTGTGTGTCTTTGAATGCACCATTTACACTAAAACAAGTTCCTCTCATGTGTAAACCTACTTAATAAAAACGGACACACACACACACACACACACACACACACACACACACAGACATGAATAAACTAAGCTGTGTGCTTTTCATTAAACATCAGATCTGTATGTGTGTGTTTTCCTTTTGGCAGACGCTGAAACGGCCCAGAAGGCTTTGCAGTTGGTCCATGGATACCGGTTGCTAGGGAAACCTTTGGTGGTTGAATTTGGCCGTGAGCGACAGGAAGACGAGAAACAGAAGGAGAAGCAGGAGGAGAGGAAATAAAAATAAATAGTAGAGATAAAACGTTTACTCCTGACAGCAGCCTGGATCCTCCTGAACAACGGGGCGGAGATGGATGTGTATTATTTATTATGATCTTTTCCTTTTAATAAATATCTGTTTTGCACCAAAGCAACGTTTGTCATGAGTTTTCTGGAGCTGCAGTAAAATGTTTTTCATATTTTTATAACCATAATTTAGTTAAAAGTTTCAGGCCTTCGAGCCATAACATCTTGAGGAGATTTATTTTTTTGCTGGTTATCTGACAAAATATTGAGGTTATAATGAGGTTATAATACTTTTTTTTTTTTGTTGCTTTTACTCATAAATGGTCAGTCATCTTGTCTAATATCACCTGGTATAGTATTGCAGGTGTGGGTTGCATGAATGACATGAAACTGAACCCGCTGACCTTTTTATAATCAATATCTGCATCATCATGTTCAGTCAGAGGGATGTACTAACTGTGTGTGAAATCATGGGCGGACTGGCCATTGGGAATACTGGGAGTTTTCCCGGTGGGCCGGTACCGAAGGGGGCCGGGCAGTCGGACAATTATTTTGTATCTACATGTTACTCAATTGTACTGCTTATTGAAACCTGTTTAATCACAGTGTCATTCTTCTTTCGGACACTAGAGGGAGGCATTTACATAATACAAGTCGGTCCGGTTTTAAAAGACACTTTGAAACACAGCAGTATCCATAGCGTTTGTTTTTACAGACGATAACGCACATAGCTCCTATAATGACGCTTCTTTTAACCGCACATATTGTTGGCACTGCGGGACACTGAGCGGTGAATTCATAACTTCAAGCAAGACATCTCAAATCGCTAACTAAGTAATAAATGAATGCTTGAAGTAGTTGTTGTGAATACTGTTAAATAGTATCCAGTTAACATAAAATGATGGGTGGTGTTTTTAAAGGAGAGACTTTATTCCATCTAACAGGGCTCTGGGGAAATGTGTGGAAACAAAACAATAGTTCTATATGTTAAAAGACTGCATATGTGAGGTGCTCAGGATCATCTGCTGTACGTTGTCCCATTCTGTTTGTGTGTCCCTGTGTGTGTGTGTGTCCCTGTGTGTGTGTGTCCTGTGTGTGTGTGTGTGTGTGTGTGTGTGTGTGTGTGTGTGTGTGTGTGTGTGTTTACAGTGCACTTATCTCTGGTGTTCTCTCGGTCAGTGAGTAGGTTCAGTTTCTGACCAGATTCCAGTTGCATGTATTTTAGGTTTGAAAACCATTGGTTGATTCTCTAAACACTTCTTGAGGTCTTCACTGCTCCAAAACACTTTGTAGTTTATCAGGAAAAACACTGTTTATAATTGCGTTTATGTGGTGCCTCTCATTTTGTATCTGCAACTGGAAAACAATCACACGTTGAGGATGAATTTAGTGATGAAGACTATAGATTTCTTATAGACGACCCATACCTTGTCATTTAAAGATAATTATTCAATGTTTGTGTTTACTTTTATTGATAACTGTTTTCTTATATGGAATCATTCATATTAATGTACCGTTCCCACTGTTATCCACCTCTTTATTTATGGGAGACACCTTTTCTCTCATTAGTGTATTTGTCTCTGTGACAGTAATGCACATATGGGGCGAAGCCTGCGAGCTAGTTCAGGAAGTCAACTCGAGCAATTAAAGCTTACACATCTTCCGGCGCAGACTGAAAACTCATCTCTTTCGACTCCACTTCGAGCGATAGAATTACTGACAAAGCACTTATATACTAGGACTGGCTAATCTAAAGCCAATTGAGTAGCACTTGAAATGTTTTGGCTCTATGAAAGCTGATGGTCTACCTATGTTCTAAATGTATTATCTCTTTGATTTACACACGGCATCTATTGCACGTCTGTCCGTCCTGGGAGAGGGATCCCTCCTCTGTTGCTCTCCCTGAGGTTTCTCCC